ACCTACATAGTCATAATAAAAATATTTAAAAATGAATAAAAAGTAAATGATGACAAATTTAAAAAGTTTGGGTTCTGTGTACCTTTAAAGCTGGCAGCATTTACTCGCTGTATTCCGATACTTATTTGTTGAGCCAGGAAAGCACCAGCTCTGGGGTCACCGGTACTATCTACCTGGCGCCAACTTAAATCTTTAATTAGTGCCTGTGCACTTGAACCCCACGGCCCAAGAGTTTGTACTCCAAAGGGAACAAATCGAAGTAGGGATAAGAATCATATATTTGAGCCGTTTATTATTTTCGGCCTGCTCTGTGGCCGCCCCAGGTGTTTTTCTTGTCCGAGAGAAGTAGCATCCCATACCAAAGCCCGTCTCATCTTCCAAGGGATCAACGACATTCCATCCGGCCGCTTGCCTAGTTCTTAAATGACATTATCAATCATATCATCAAAGTAAATTCAGACATACTTGGGTACCCATAGTTTTATGTTTCATACACGTCGAAACATAGGTATTGTCTAGAGTCTAGACGCACTTAACTGTCTTAATTATTTTGAGCAGGTTTAGTACAAGTTTAACGACAGTATTATTTTTATTATAAATTACTGGGCCGGCCTGGTTGCTCAGATGTATTAATTATCGATACTTTTAATTAATGACAGTAAAAATAAATAAATACCTAACATATCTTCCTGTTTCCCTCCCTCTAAGGCTTGGAAATCTTAAGTTTTAGATTTGTATAAATATGAACAAGACTTAAAAAATAGTTTGCCAAAGAAGTTTCACTTCTGATATGTGTACTTAGTACGCACGCACTTTTTTTATCAGTCCAACGAATAGGGAAACGACCCTGACTTCTCCTGCCATCACTGCTCCATAGTCCATACCAGTTTGTCGAGACTATTCGGTTTTCTCCTGGAAATATGGCCAAAGTAGAAAAGTACACGTTTGTAAATGATAGTTGACAGTCTTGTGACCTTTAGTTGGTTGAGAATGGACTCTTTGGTTCTTTTTGCAGTCCATGCTATTCGCAACATTCTCCTCTAACACGACATCTCGAATACCTCTATCTTTTTTCGGTCCACTGTAACAATTGAGCAGGACTCTGCTCCGTACAAAAATATGGAAAATTTCAAAGTTCTGAAGAACAAATTACAACTTTCTTAAGTATCGATAAATTCCTTAATTCTGTAAGAAATACAACTTAAGAATTACTTAAAATTGAACTTAAGACATTTAAAATGGAACCTACATAAAAAAAGCCTGTCTTTATTTTTGAAAATCGGTCCAGTAGTCTTTGATTTTATTACAAATCTTCCCTCTTAATCCTTTTATATAGATAAAGAAAACGAATAGTCAAACAGTAAATGCACGTAGAACTTTCCAACGACTTCACCAAATTGCATATTTTTGTGTGTTTGTATTTATCAGGACAAGGCTTCTAGAGAAACTTCTCTTCTTAAACAAGCAAGACTTGTGGACTTCATAATATATATTTCTTTACTTCTTCGTTACGCTACGACCGAATCAGTGGGTGAAACAGCACCAGCTAAATATTGAACACGAATGGAACCTACCATCCGTTAATACAAGGTAAGATTAATCGAGGCCGATATTGAGCTGGTAAAAAACAGCATATACCGTAAATCCAGCGAATAATTGGCGTTCAAGTGTTTTATAGTCTCGATAGTCGAAAGTAAATGAAAATTTCGACGTTGTTTATCGCCACTCGTAAATTGTAAAGATAATAATCTAGATTGTTTATGGAGTTGAACCTTGGTATTCGTGCACTAAAAGAATGGGAGCATTTCCTGTCGGATTTTGTGCATATATTTTGATATCATTTGAATTTAACCAGATTCATAATCGGGAGGGGTGTATAGTTATCACCCCCAACCAATTTCAGGCGCCGGAAACAGTTATTTAAATACTGATACTGACTAATAACCTAACCAAACCTAACCTACCGTAACCCTTTTCTTTTGTCCTCCTCAAAGTCATCCACAAAAGCCGGTCGTCTACCAAGCATAGAACTCGTAGACGGCTCAGGTTCTGAATCACGTCCACATCCACTATTTCCAGACGCCATCACAAGATATCAGTGTCTAGTATGTATGCCAAAGTCGTACACAGAAGCAATTCAATCAAAGTCTAAAATATAGCTAAATTTAAAAAAAAATGCAAATAAAATAACGCACATTCACGTAAAAATAAAAAAAACGTAAAAACTAACGGATTATTAACGGATATTCTGCACGTTCACACACTTAATAGGGATGTGAAAAATAATCGATTTTTTTAAAGTGAAAATCGATTTATGTATTCGATTTTAACATTAAGAATAATTGAAAATCAATCATAGTTGATCAGTTTCAGTTGAACAGTTATTTAAAAAAAATAATAATATACTAACCTAACCTAACCGAACAATAATAATATGTAATAAAATTTTTGGACAGCTCCGGCGCTACGGGAAATGCAGCCCTTTTACCCTTGCGTACCAAAGCACAGGCATTTTGTTACAGCGGGTGAGGGCTGCTCTTCCTCCGCGCCTCTGATTGACACAACGTCTTATAATTCGATGGAGCCGGCTCACCACGAAAAAACATGACTCATGCGTTACCTCCTCTAGGCTTACCTCGCTCTGAGGCGTTACCTCTCTCTGAGGTTACCTCGCTCTGAGGCGTTACATTTAAAATTGACATAATTTTATTTATGCGTACAAATAAATGTAACTAGATCAATTCAATTGTGATTTCCATTTACCTCCTTCTCTATATCCATACAAAATACCTATCAAACAAATAAAATTTAATTTTTTTTTTGAAAAATGCAACCATCCCATCAATATTTTTTATGACGTTGTCACGTTCAACTATCGTCAGTAAACCGACTTTTACAGACAACCGATTTTTTATATACACTCTAGGGGTAGGGCAGCCAAGACCACGTGGATAGTGGGGTGCTCTGATTCGGTTTTGGGTACTTTTTGAATAATTTCAAAATTTTCGGAACCCTACACTAATTGAAACATATTGTGATTTGGATGTGATTTAAATTAGGTTCAACTTTAAAATTAACAAATGAGGAAATAATCGATTCGATTAATTTACCGAGAATGTCACATCCTGCATAATCAGTATCATCAACTTCGGGCGACCGATTTCTAAATCCAACCCATGATGCCACGGGCAGATTCAAAGGGTATTTCCACATAAGTCATCTCGTTCTTTTAGACTTGTTTTGAGAAGTAAGCGATCAAGTAGGCTAAACTTTCCAATATGGACCATCGATTTGAATGCCCATATTGTAGATAGTACTCACTAAAAGAAAGCTTTTTGCAAAGTTTTAAGTTGCGGAAACTTACGGTTCATGAGATACATTTATTTTTACTTTCCATACAAATGGGCAAATAACACGACATAACATCAAGTAAATAATTTAGTTGTTGCTGACGTTTGTCACTGTGACAACTGACGGTCGACGGCTATCAGCCATCAATGTCACAGATCAGTACACAGACATTTGACCGAAATTCTTTGGCATCGAAAAAAAGCCCGAAATATAATGCTATTTTAAAATAATATTAAATGTATAAACAGTTTTAATAACGATCAGTGTGCTGAAATTATTATTTTTTTCTTAATTGTATCATATGAGCAATATTTTTACCAATAGCTCAAATATTCAACATTTAATGATAAACAAAAGTCAAATTAAACTTTTTAACTAACTAAAAACATTGACAACATCGATTTAATACTTACAGAATTACCATGATTGGAAAGAACAGACGAGCTTCAAATTGATATCTTTATAAGTCAAATTCATGTACAGTGCTCTGTCATAATGTGGACTCCGTGTTTAGTCCACGGAACCTGTAACAAATAAGACAGGTTAAGGCCCTTTGAGGCTCATGGAACCAAATGATGTAATTTACTTTATACTAAGAAACTAAACATTCCAACCTAAATATTTTTCGATAAAATGTATGTTTAATCAATTATATTACTAACACAGTTCCAAATTAGCCGTTGAAATTCGAATGATTCTTTTTTTTTTTTTTATTCCAACTCCTACAAAATGTTCCCCCTAGGACGAACTTCCAATACCCCTAATTGTCGATCAAAAACCCCTGAAGTTTTTGTTGTACACTTGGTTCGAGAGGTAATTTCAAATATGAATTAATAATACGTTGTAAAGTAGTAAAAATAGCTGTTGTATTTAGGTGAGTACATTTTACATATTTATATATGTTAATCAATGACCGAATAATATTAATGATAATAACAATGAGATGAAACGATTCTTAATTTTTATTTCTTAACTTTTCTTTCTTCGAATTCAGTTTTTCTTAACGTTTCTTGGTGGACAATTTTTTGCGTTTTCGTCAATTTCTTTTCATATATTATTTTTAAATCTTCTAATATTTCGTCGAAGGCATCGGCCTGGATATTGCGCTGCGTTTTGCTGTGTACAATCTGGTTCAAGCTGCGTTCGTTGGACAACAGGCTGCGGGATCCGAGCAGCATATGTATTATTTGCTGCATTCAGTCAAAGTGAATCAATTAACACAAACGTACCCTCGAATCTATCAGCTCTATGTGTGTATTCTTTAAAAGCAATTTGACGTAAATTTTTGCAAAACATAAAAACATGTTTCAGTAAAAACGGTTCTAGAGGCTTAGACTTCATTTCTCCATCACACTCATGTATTGGAACTAAATTCATCTAAGTGAAGATTTCTGCGGACTGATCTAAATACACCGCTGGGCGGCGAACAACCGGTGGAAGCAGTACCAGTACTGTGTTTAAGAAGCGATAACGGCAGTGGCCGCGACACAAAGGCGATTACACCGTTATCTTCGCCGGAACGCTGAAGTCACCTTAAAAAATCGTCGTTGAGAGTGCCACATCAGCTTTTGAATATGGACATAGTTGTTGACGAAAGTTCGCCAGTGATAAGGATTTATTTTTGATACTCATCAATGCATCTATATGTGATGACGGAACGAAAAGTATCTAAAGTAAAGGTTCAAGAATGTAGCGTGTACAAATCGTGTTTGACATGCCTTGGAGCAAAATCCATATTGTGGTTGGTGTTCCCTCGAAAACAAGTCGTCTACGCTCCGATTGTCAGGAAGCCGCGGAAATCCTTTGTATTGGATTCTTTACCGCAGCGGACGTTGTGCTACTATTACACAAGTAACACCAAACCAATTACAACGAACAACTGCAAAACTCTAGACTTAGTTATCGAAAACCCACCGACTCTTAATTTGTGTGCGTTTACAGCTTTAGATCGAACATATAACAAATGCTACTCGAAGCCCTATGGGGTTAATTGTACGACGCCACGAACCTTACCACCAATACCCGCTGCACACCACTTTACAGCAAAATTATCCGTGCGCACGACACAGGGACCTGATTTTGTAGCTTCTAATTTTACTTTTTTGATTGTAACATGTACAGCTCGTGCACGCGGTGCGTCAGTTCCTCGTTTCCTTGTATGTCTATTCAATTCAGAGATGATTCTGTTTCCTCCAATAATCCAAGTTTAGTAGAAAATGGGAAAGGTCTGGGTATGGTAAACTAAAAATGAAAACAGAAACTAAAAAAAAGTGTTTTTGCTATCGAATGAGGCAGATAATTATTGCAGAAATTGTCCAATTTACGGACTCCGCCAAGCAACTTACTAGTCGATGAAGAGTATAAGTCAACAACATGAAATAATATGTGCCACCGCTTAAAATAACAATAAAGAGGTTTATAAAATCAGATCTCCATTCCATAACTTATTTTAAAAAGGTTCAAAACGGAGATATGCTAGAAGTTGATTGTGAATGTATGTGTTAATATGATGGAATTCTGCTTCGTGTTCTATTACAGTGCAATGAAAAACGTCTGCCTAATTCAACTGCCAATGAAGTAGTTAGAAAAGTTCTGTTTTACGTTTACATGATACACATGTAAACGATATTGAAGAACTGCGAATAACAAATGCTCGTCACTCACCTTTATACCATGCCGTCAAGCAACTTGCGATGGTATCAAATCATTTGAACTGATCTTACGCAACATTATAAGTTTTGAAATATTGGATGAAACTGTTTCTGTTTATGAAGCACCCACAAACCTATTTTTACAGGGTAACGAAATGATTGATTTCAATAATTGAATTTGTTCCGCCTGCTATTGGTACAATGGCTACTATAAAGCACATTGTAACTGAAATTGGCAATGCTACGATGATTGAATACAAGGATAATAAGAAGTTATAATAAAAAAATAATTCCACACTGTATTGTATACGTTAAAAAAAAGGAATAAAATAAAATAAATTAAAAAGACTTAAGAAAAATTAATGAATGAGTATTTACCTATTTGTATTATACCAATTCATTTTATTTTATTTTCTCTTGTATTCAATATTTAAAAAAACGTTATTCCTTTACTTTGTGAAAGTTTTTACCGTTAAAGTACATATAGTTAGGGGTTCTGTTACTACCTACCTACCTATATTTATATAAATAAACCATAATTAAACTTATTTTAACCAAATATTTTTTGCCTGTATATTTTTACCAGGCCTTGGGGGAATTTTAATAACATTGTTCGATTCTAATTCCTGATAGGTACACATCGAGGATGGAAAACCAGGAAGAAGCAAATAGGAAGCAAAATATGAACTATGAAATAACGATAATTCATTATAGTGAGTACAATAGGATAGGTGACCAGCCATTCTGACGTCAGAATGGATGGTCACTAATATTGTTGTGGTTCTCCCAAGATACTAAGGAAGCAATTGTCTTGTAGTAGGAATCAAATAGAAGCAATTGGGAAGTAATTTTTAAACGACATTTTAACCTTCTACACGACTAGTGACCAGCCATTCTGACGCTCACAAATTCCGCACGCGAAATAGCACCTGTACCGGTAATATATGTTTTTTTTCAATAGATAGATAGATAGATAAAAGAGAGTCAATTTCATGTAACATAAACATCAATATTTAATGACCATTTTGGTAGACACACTTTTCTAGACATGCTTGCCCCATATTGTTCCACAAAACAATTAACTAAAGACTTAATTTGTAAAACAATATCGTAATTGTCACTTCTAATAATTATTACAGTAAATTTAACATGCGTCATACTCAACATGGCTGACACAAAAGCCATTACATCCCAAGGGTTCCCAATGTATCAACTAGTGAGAATATTGCTGCACCGTAGGTATATATAATGTATCACAGATTTACGACACAATTAATACATCAAGAGTCTGTGTGTGTAGATGAATAAGTATTGGTTTTTAAGTTTTATTTTATATGTAAGGTTTTTGTCTTTATTATTGTTTCACTTATACGTCTTCCCTAATAGGGAAGAGACTTTATTATAGACTTGTATGCACTTTAATTTGCCGGGATTATATTCAATCGAACCACATGTGTCGCAGGCTGAAAAACTGTTAGATTTTTATTTCTTCTTTGAGATTGCTGAACTAAACCCTTTTTAGTACAGTAGTAAAGTTTTTACATGTTATTTGTTTTCTTAAAATACGCATTGTTTATAAGTAAATTTTCAATACAACATGTATTTTGTAAAAAGTTATGTGCCAGCCCTGCACCTATCAATATACAATTTCTGCTGACGAAGCAGGCCACCGGCGTCTCTTCAATATCATAATTAGTTTTTAAGAATTCATTCTTATAAGCATCGCGCTTAAGTGTAGTATGTTAATTTGTAATTTTATAATAAATTAGTTCTTAATAAATTGGTTTTTTTTTGGAGTGCACCGGCGGGTGAAATATAATTAAAAGTAACTTTTTCTTTTAAATATAAAAGAAAAAGTTATATATATAAATAAAAATATAGCACAAATTTGGCAGAATTGTTCTTCAAACAATACAACTGAAAGCTCTCAAAACTGGGTAACTCTACAGAGAAAAAGTTCAGTTTGTGTTACACAAATTTCTTTGCTAACAAAAAAAATATAATTTAATACTTGTTTAAGAACTTATCTCCCGTGTATACGGCTTACGAGGGACACGAGAGGCACAAATACATTTTCCTTTAATAGTTTCATTAAACTTTGAACAATATTTTTTCCTCAATACTCCTGCCTTTTTGACGAAGGAGTAGGCAGAGACCACGGATCTCTTACTACGGCCCTGACATAACATTCTAGCTTCATGACTTTCATGAAATTGACCTTGCATACTCGCTTACGGAATTCTTGCTTCTGTACGGAAATGAATATGCTGTTTTATTTATATGGGTAGGTAAGGTAGGCATCTTATAGATATTACCAGAGACACAAGAGCTGGCTCCCAGAAGCGCCTCTAGCTAAAAGTTCAGGTTTGGTCTCAGGCACAATTTTTTTATTTATAGCATTTTCTATATGCAGTCACACATGGGTAAATTCATTGAGTAGGTGCAAAGTCACTACAGTTTAAACATTAACATTGGTAAAAGAATTTTAAAAAATAACAGATACAAAAAGGTTGTAGCGCCACTGATTTATTTATTTTTTAACAAATAAACAAAATCAAGACAACTTTTATATATATTTTTAAGACGTAAACAGATAACCAAGAATTTCCACTCCATCATTACTTCAAGGTAGCCTATAACTTTGCTCAAATACTTGCTAACGAGAAAAATATTGTGCAGGCGAAAAGAAAATAACTAGTTAAGAAAGTCATTTGAGTTTACCAAGAGTCGTTCACAATGTTCTTAATTCCACATGAATTTGGTTTAAAAATAGCTATCGTACCGCAAAAACAGCTTTAGAGTGTAGAAACTAAAACGCTAAAGCTCAACACCACTTAGTTGCATGTATATTATAGACATTCTATACACTTCAGGCATTTTAATTGTGAGACTTGTGCGACTACTGGCTGCCAAATTGCGCCATTACTTCTAAGTCTAAAATAAAATAAACTCACTGACTATATTAAAAACAAAAAATTATTCATTAAGAAACATTATTTCAAAATTGTTGATTAGCGTCAAAATATTTACTTGTGAACCTTGAACCATGAATTGTGGAACCAACTACTTCCACAACAATATGATTAAAGCTTCTTCAAAAGAAGTCTACAGTTATTGTTAATACATACGAGGCTACTGACATACTTAATAGCCTTATATTATTATTATTAGAGCTTTATTATTGAACCCAAACAAAATTTGGTTAGTTCACATTTCTTAATATGAGTATTAGTTGCGTTAGTATAAGTTTTAAGAAATTAAGTTAGTTTTTTTTAGTGGTCTAGTATTGTATGTCTTTTTATAGAGTAAAAGCCTCCTTCATATTTTTCCATTAAATAATATACATACTGTTTTACACAATGTTTTACATAATGTTTTTTTAACATTTTTTAACCCCTCCCTCCCCAAAGGTGATACGTGGTGAGGTTTAAGACTACCCCCCACACCCCCCACCAAAAATCACGTGTATTTTTAGTACTACCTATAAAGAATCTTAAATTTTTTATAATATTATTTTTAAGTACCGGTATAAAGTATAATCTAATCCTAATAATAATCTAATCTATTCTAGAAAATTAAGGACCATGATAAAAATGTCTAGACAGAAAGGTTACAGGTTGTTTTTGACTGACATAAAAATTATATTAAAGGAATGGTGTTGGGTGTTAAATACCACCGCACTTTTTTGACGATACTAATTATCTAGGAGTGTCCGGGGGACCTTCATTGGAACACCTCCAAGTGAGTTTTGCTCCGGAAACGCGTCTAAATATTTTTATAAAAAATTTAAAGTTTTGTGTAATGTATTAAAATTTGTAAACAATCCGCCATTTTCTACTTTTCTATTGGTTATAAGTGATGTGACGTTCACTTAAAAAAATCGTGTTTTTAATTTATCGATTGTTAATAATCGTTTTATTTATTTATCGATTATTTCCTCATTTTTGAAATTTAAAGTTATAGAATAATCAACATTGAAATTAACCTAATTTCGTGTTGATAGATTATAGGGTTCCGAATTTTTTTGAAATTATCGATACCTACTCGTCTGTATTTTCTAATTAGTACTTGTATTTCATTGTTTGCAACTTTCTATATTATTTAATTTTTACTAGAATAAAGTGTTTACTTTAATATCCAAAAAGTACCCAAAACCGAATCAGAGCACCCCACTATCCACGTGGTCTTGTCTGTCTTACCCCTAGAGTGTATATAAATAATCGGAGGCGCGGAGGAAGAGCAGCCCTGTAAAATGCCTGTGCTTTGGTACGCAAGGGTGGAGGGGCTGCATTTCCCGTAGCGCCGGAGCTGTCCACAAAAACAAATATTATTTAGATTGGTTAGGTTAGAGTTAGTATATGAATATTTGGTCGCCGAAGGCGACCAGGACGCCGAGAAGCCGAGGCTTGAATAAACAATTACTATTTAGATCGGAGCTGTCCACAAAAAAAAATATTATTTAGATTGGTTAGGTTAGAGTTAGTATATGAATATTTGGTCGCCGAAGGCGACCAGGACGCCGAGAAGCCGAGGCTTGAATAAACAATTACTATTTAGAT